AATGAGCTGGATGCTGAGCAGTTCCATAAATATTTACCGCATACACTGATGTACAGCAGACACAAGACAGGGATAAAGAAAAGGCGGCAACAGGAAGTCAACAAAGAAATTGTCAAAAGGCTAAAGTCTAAGGATGACTACCAACAAAAACAGAAAAGGGCTGACATCAGAAAAACTCTAAAAGAAATGGCAATTGATTCTTTGGCTTCTAACTATCCTGATTGCGGACAAGTTCTGCAAGAAATACTAACTGGAAACAGTTGGACGCACAATTAGACATATTTGGACAATTGATGGTATCAACTGTGAATATATCAGTTACATCAAAAAATATGAAAATCAATTTTTTTTTTACGATTTCATTTCTCAATGATGTAACTGATCATTTGACCAAATATGAAGTTGGCACTGACTATGTTTTGCAGGAATTGTATGTTGGCGGTACCTAAATTTTTATCAAGATTTTCTAAAAATAATAATTTAAAAAAATAAGTTTATTCATTTGTGAATAAATCCAGAAAGTTTCATTATAATCCGACAATTATTTGATTTTTGCAAGAATTTCCAAATCAATGTTATTTTACCGGAAAAAAAGATGTTTTAGTTTAAATTTCCAGTCAGCTGTTTCACCGTTGATGAATAAACAAAAAATAAGAGTTTTAAGCAAAATTTCTAGAAAATGCTAGTAAGTAAAAGAAAAAAAAATTAATAAAATAATCAAAAAATACTTTGGTCTTTACTCTAAATAATAACATGAACATTTTAACGTTAAAACTTTGTTTTTAATAAGTTTGGGACTTTTTTTTCATCATGCTATGCATGCTGTTTTTCAATTCGACAAAACCAAAATTTAACTCTAAAGAAGACATTTAAATTGCGTTTTTAATATTTTTAAGTTTACAATACATGGTAATAAAACAAAAATATTTCGAGTCAGATATCTTTATTAAAACTTAAATCATATCTGATTTAGACCTCGGCCACTTTTTAGTTCGTGTCGCTCAGCTTGCATTCGACCGTGCACGTTAAATGTCAAATTTGAATCTGCTTTTTCGAAGGGGAGTGAACCAAACAAATGCAGGAAATATTTATCCAAGAGAGACAACTTTTACATCCATTGTACAATAAATACATGCAATAAAAACAAACAGGTTACGTCAGGATTCATTTTGACTAATATTGGCGACCGATATTCAGAGAACTTAAAACGATTACTTAGTTACTTATGTGACGCAAACAATAGTCAGTGCATTCCTCTTCTTCTATGTGCCGTGTCCCTTCAGGACGTTGGCAATCATGGATCTCTACAATTTACTATCCTTTGTAGCTCTTAGTAAAATTTGTATTTTAGTCATCTCTACTACACCTTGTCTATCAATTTACTCAAGCTTGCTAGGTAGGTTGTATGATGCTTTCCTCTGTCCCTCTTGCTTTCAATCTGTCCTGTGAGTGTCAAATTTTCCAAGCCCTCTTTCCTCATTATGTGCTCTAGAAATTTTAACTGTCTCTTTCTGATGTTTTGTTTTTGTTTCCATTTTCTGAAAAACTTTGTCATTGCTCACATGTTCGGTCCATGATATCCTCAGCATCCTGCCGTAGAACTACATTTCTGTTGCTTAAAGTCGCTTCTTTATCTGTAAGGAAATTGTCCAACATTTACTGCCATGTAACAGTTCAGTACTTTTTTCTTTGCTTATGAAATTTCGTTTTTCTTAATACTTTGCTTAGCTTTTCAAAGGCATCTTTTGCTATTCCAATGTGCCTTTGGATTTGTATCTTACTTTCCATCATCTGTCAAAACACTTCCCAGATATTTAAATAGTTGTACTTGTTTGATTTTGGGATGTCCAATTTATAATTTACATATTGGCCTGTCCCTTTTGCTAACAACCGGACATTATGTCTTTGTGTAATTGATGTTTATCTCTTTCTTTTCAATTTCCTTCACTACCTTCTGTAGAGCTCATAACTATATAAAAAATAGGAATGAATTGGATGTTTAGGCATTGCATGTTTTTTCTCCTAATTTGCATTTCAAAACTTATTTTGGAATTTTCAAGAAAGGTGCTAACTGATAGACATAACCGTTTTAAGGTGTTGATTAATCTATCATTTTTGTTTGATATGACTTTATTATATTTCTATATATTAATAGAGGAGGCATGGGGGAATAATGAACAGCAGCTTGGATTGTGGAATCGGAGAGCTGAGTTCGAATTCCAGTCGAGTCCATTACGTGTTTTTAGTAATCCTCATTTCAATTTTCAAACATTTTCTTGAATTTCATTGGTTGTTAAATAAAAAAATAAGCTTTGAGAAATTTCCATAACAAAACAGTCAAAATTTGTGCAAAAATAGACTCAACTGACATAAAAAAAATATTTCTCAAATTCATCCCTTATTTAAAAGTTTTGAGAAATCCTATTGCCTAAAAATAAAAAAAAAAATACAACATTCGCCCACGCATTTCTCAGAAAAAATTGCAACTATCTACCAAGCCGCTGGGAGCTGATTTTGTTGTTAAAAAAAAAACTATAAATAGAAACAGCAACAAATTTTCATTGCATTTTGAGACTCACACACGCAAAGATGCACACAGGAATTATGTGTCAAAATTGCCGCCAAAGAAACAAACTTTCTTTATGAGAGATTGGAAAAATTCATACAACAAACTTTTTCACTTAATATCTTTCATAGAAAAATCTTTTGTCTAAGTTAAATTCAACCTTTTCAATCAAAAGCAGACAACTTTTTAGACATTGAACATTTCTGAAACAGCAAAGAACTTTTTCTCTATACATTTGCACACATCATTACAAACAAAGTAATTGTAAATTGTGTATATAAAATTTAATCTGTTTTTTTCAAACATGTACTTTTTGTCATGATTGAATATCATTACCATTTGGCCATTTCTTATAATTTATGTTTGTGGATATTGCATATTTTATTTGCAGCACAATCTTAAATATTCACGCATCCTTCTTAGATCCACTACATATACTTGGGAAAGGCATGAATCCAATTCTTCACCCTCCAGCTATAAGGCGTATTATATTTGTTTAAAGAATATATCTGTTTAAGTAATACTTGTTTAAAGACACTGGTCTATGAAATGTCTGTTTAAGGACCATTGGTATATATTTTTTTAATAAATTAACACTTTATTCATGTACAAATACTGAATTTTATTAATATTCACTATATTACAAAATAATATTTAAGACACTAATAGCAATATTAATTACTGACAATACATATAGTTTATGAGCATTTATTAGCATGCAGTTTTTGTATATTAACACTATTACACTAGACCAGTGTTTCTCAACCGGAGTTCCCTGGAATCCTATGGTTCTGCAAAAGGTCCCCAAGGGTTCCACGAGAATTGCCTTGATTTACCTTATCTTTTCAACATTGCCAGTAAAGGATAAAAAAATTAAAAAAACTGATGGAACAATTATCTGTTTTCATTCTGTTTACATTTATATTATAGATGATATTGGTTACTTATATTTATTTTTTACGTTTGAGTTTAGAATTTTTTTGTGTGAATGAAAACACCTTGATGAAGTATTATAAATGAAAAGTATAAATTTTATTTAGCACTAGCAGTAGAGCCCGGCATTGCCCGGGGATGTAACAGTAAGTGATAGATCAAGTATCGACTATCATAAAGACTGAAAAATAAAATTGACAAAGATTATTGTTTAAGGTTGACGGACACGCATGTCTTAATTAGTTTTTTTTTTTTTACGAATTGGTCAAACCCAAACTCAAACAAAAACATTGTTTTCAATCATTATGAGTCTACTGATTGAATAGAATTTTATTATAAACAATTGTCTTGTAAATGGAATTTTTAAAGCATTCTGAATGTAAAAATAAAGAAAAAAGTGTGCAAGACAATAAGAAACACTACCTGCCAAAAAGAAAGTGAAGTTATGTTGAAATCGGTTGAAAAATATAGAAAATCTGATCCCATATATAAACCAACACACACACACACACACACACACACAACCTGGGTTTTATAAGTATAACTTGATATGAGTTGTCCCCCTTTCATTCTGGCAACAGAATCATGTTTTATCATGTTTTCAAATTGATTTCATGCAAAAACAATTGTGTTTTTCTAATTTTTGGCACCCTTCACAACCACCACAAGGTAATTTTATGCAGTCCTGTGAAGTTCTGTTGAAAAGGGTTGAAAAATGTAGGAAATCCGATCCGATATATAAACGTACAGACACACACACAATCTGCGTTTTATAATAAGTAAGATTATTGAAAAATTTGACAAAGAAGTATTAATTTTTCCTTAAACCAGTTATTAAAAAATTACCACGTGAATTATGATGAAAATAAAATGAGAAAGACATGGTATATAATTTTGTTTTTGTGCAGGGGTTCCTTGAGACATAATTTATTTTAAGGGTTACACAAGGGTAAAAAGGTTGAGAAATGCTGCATTAGACCATAATTCTCTCGATGAATATTTCTTAGATGTATATTCTTTAGACAAATGTTCCATAGATGAATGTTCTGGATACCATTAATAAACAATGAAAAAAATTGTCTTTCATTAAGAATGAAGAGAGAAAACATAAAAAAGAACAAGAAAATCAAAACATAAAAAAACTTTATCTTGTGAGCAAAACTGAGACAAAAAATGTTCAATTATGCTGAACCCCAAAGAACAAATATGGCTGACATATCAAATACTTTTTGTAAACAATTGATATTGACACCTGCTTGCTTTGTTTTATTATCTATTGTGCTAATTACGTATATTTGCAATGATGCCGTTTTAAATAAGAGGGTTTATAAGCTGAGAAAAAAATTTCTGAAAACGTGTATAATATGCCCCCACATTTTTTGCCTTTAATTTTCACTGAAAATTTATTGTATTTTGCACAAGAAAATAGGATATGTTTAATTAATGAGATCTAACTGTTACCTTATGATGATTGGAATATTACTGGGCAAAACAGCATTACCTGAATAGTAGCTTCATCCTTACATTGCTGAACTGCATTCTCAAGAATAATTTGGTTTTTGTCTAGCACCTGTAAAAAATAAATAAATCAAATCAAAAACAACTTTTAAAAAAATCCATATATCAATATACTGTATTTTTTCAGAGAATAAAACACTTTTTTTACCTTAAAATTTAATGTTAAAATCTGCTTGTGCCTTATTGTTGTAATTTTGGTTAATCCTCATCGCAAAAATGTTGTAACCTAGGGAAGGATACTGAATAGAATAATCACATGAAGGTTGGTAATGAACGATAATACTTAGGACAAGAACAACACATATAAGAACCGCCAGCAGTGTGTAGAAGTAATCAACTGTTAGAAGTGAGTCAAGTGAATTCCACAATGAATCTCCAGTGGAAGGATATCTACCAACCGCCCCACATGGTCAGATGTGGCACAAGGCCGAATTTAATGTGGGGTATCCGAGTCCAAAGGCATGGCCAAAAATTCCCTGTAGACCTCGTATAAAACATGGTTGGGTAGCTGTTTCTTGAGACGAGACTGCCCTTTGACATAGCTTTGTCTGGGGATCCTCTCTGTCCGGAGGTAGAGAGTTTAACCAGTACAGCTGGAGACAATCTCCAACTGCAGGATATCTACCAACCACCCCATGTGGCACAAGGCCGATTTTAATGTGGGGTATCTGAGCCTGTAGTCTCAGCCAAAAATTCCCCATAGACTCTGTGTTTCCTAAGTTGAGACTCCAACATACAGTATTTACTACTGTATTTATGTGAATGGGGATATACCCATTATTGTCTGTAGACATGCTATAAAATCTATGCACCAAATAATATATAATGACACAAATCATCCGCAGGAAATTTGTATTTAGGTTCTTATAGTGTTTCATCTTTTTTGGTAGATCTTCTATTATCACAATTTGGGAGATTTATTAACAAAAGCAATGGAAATATAAACGAAAAGAAAATGAAATCAGCTAGATTACATAACCAAAAATACATATTAAAAAAAAAAAATTATTTTTAAATCTCTCTCTCTCTCTCTGATATGTGCAGATATGTAGAAAAATAGGAAAGAACACATTTCGGTTCTCGTTTTTGAAACATGAAACTCTTATGCAGCAATAGTATCACATTTGTTTAAAATAATTATTATATATATATATATATATATATATATATATATATATATATATATATAAAATAAGGGCACATAGCCAAGTGGTTAGAATGTTCACTTTCTGACCATGAGATCCGGGTTCGAATCTCACCACCGTTGATTTGTCAGGAAGTAGACTTCCTGATGTTATTGGTCTGGAGAGAGAGATGTTCTCAGCGTGCAGCACCTTTGTAAAGTGCCTGAAAACCATACCATGGGTTGACCCAAGCCTTGTGAGTGAAATTGGGTAGATGGAACCCTTGGAGTCATCAATAGCTGTGTTAGCATGAAGTCACAAGTCATTGTGAGCAAGGGTTTGAGTGTGCTGGCCTTGTCCAGATTGTTGATCATGCTAGATAACATGCTCTCTCCCAGAAACTGTAATTAAGGTCTGCTCAGCATAGTTGCAGTATAAACCACAGTTTGAATCTGTGCGTGTTGAACAAACACAAATGTGCCTGAGCGAGCGTTTGCAATAGGGATTGGCTAAATACGCTAATAGACAGGTATCCATGAATATAAGTGGCCAGCTATTATTATATATATACATATATCATCTACAGACAGACTGTTTTGTTGTATCACAGCTCATCAGTATGGCTAGACATCCGATTGCTTCAAGCCAGGATTGAAACTTGACTGATTTGACATCAGTCAGAGATCCTTACCCACTAGGCTAACGGTGCACAGCAGAGGAAGGGAATTTTTTAATGCATTATATACGTGATATACATAAACGTTGTACCGGTTGCCATAGTGCTCACTTCTTATGAAGAGTGATGCATTTAAAGCAGCAGCAGCAGCTGTTAAAAATTCCCTTTCTCCATAGTGCTCAATTGGATATTTTCTGTTCATACATAAAATATATATAAGTAAGATATATTAAAACAATTGTCAGACTTAGTCCATTTCATAATATATATATGTGTGTGTGCGTGTGTGTGTGGAGGAAAAGGGAGATTTATGGGATGAAACTGAAATAATAAACTGAGAATATCACTGGAAAATACAAAAACTTAAGGAATCAGCACATATGCTATGCCACAAAAATCTCCTAAGACGGCCAAGCATAAACATGTATAAAATATGGGAACCAGTTATAAAGAGAGCAAAGAGGAAAACAACAATGAAGAAAATGTAATATGAGCTCTAGTAAAAATGTTTACCAAGACATTAGCTTTATAGCTCCTCAAAATTCAATCACTGACATCCTCTACATGGCCCAGTGGATACATAAGAGTGTTGGTTGAGTGATCCAAAAAGTGACAACCGAAAGTGTTGAGAGTTCAATATCAGGCCACAGCAGAAGGAACAAAAACTTGGAGTCGACTTAGTAAGGGGAATTAACTGAAAATGAAATATCAAAAGGCATGGCATGTGGAATTAGAACAATGTATCCATGTGGTCTAAATAAAAGGTTTGGTTTGAAATTCCAATGTAAATCACCTGTAGAAGTATCATGAATATGACAATAAAGAGGAGGACAAAAGTCCGAACCATGTAAATAATTACAATACCACATCTCAGAAATATAGACAAAAACGTCAAAATTCAGGGATTTTGCAGAATGACAAGTACAGTGAGAATTTTGTTTGTCCTGAGAAGACTAACTTTTTACTCTGTTTCTAACACTTTGTGAAGTCACTCAACAAATATATTGAGAAAATGAAAAAAAAAAAAATTCTGACAGGTTTTTGCGACATAAATATCTTTCAATAGTACAGTATATTTTGTCATACAGCTTGAGCCATTTTTTTCTCAATTGTCAAAAGAACATTAAGGTTTTTTTTCTGCTTTACCAGTTATGGGCCATACAGTATGCGTCACCTTTTAGAAATGCGTGAAAAGTGAAAGGGATGATGGGTGTAATGACAAAAGTACGCAGGTGTAGGCTTTAGGAAAACTTTATTCAACTGAGAATACAAGGTTCATGTATAGTGTTCTTTTATAGTCCCAGTAAACAGAAATAGCTCTCACAAAGAGGAGAGTAACAAAACAAGGGGAGACTACTCTTGATTATTCATAACAATGGGTTCCAAAGAAGACAAAGGTGACATTGCCCTAGGTAGGCCATTTTTTATGTTAATTTTAAATGGCTGTATACTTCCTGGATAGACAAGTTCATTTCTTTTCAGTGGATGTGCAGGTGTAGTGGATAATGACTCAGAATGAGAAATTGGAGAATAGAGTTCAAATTCCAGTTGGGTTTGTTACATTCACTTATGTGCAAATACCCTTAGGAAAGTATGAATCCATCTCCCAAACTATGGGTTGAATAGGAATTGCATCTGAAAAATCATTGTTATTCTCCAAAAAAAAAAAAAAAAAAAAAGTAACACAATGTTCAAAGTGTTGATAAACTGTAAAATAAATAGATAAATAAATAAATAAATCATTTCTGTTCAATTTTTTTTTATTGAAATGAGACCCCTTTTCATTATAGATCATATGCCTAAAGATGGTTGGAGAATTGTCTGAAATAGTGTAGCATCAAAAAGCAAAAAAAAAAAAATGAGTGAGTTCAGTTGTCTGAAACAACGTGTCTGGTGCTCCTGCTATTTATTTGGAGATTCTCAGTAAAATCCAAAGGAGAATCAGCAATATTATTGGCATCTCAGCTTCAGTCACTTTCCCACAACTGTAAAATTGCCTCCTTATAGATTTTCTATAAATATTTTCATGGTATTTGTTCAGATGAACTCTTTGCTATGGTACCTAGACTTTATGGATTTAAGCGCAGTACTAGATTGGCGACAAGGTCTCATCAATTTACAGTTGAATTGACTAAATGTAACCATAAGTTCTATGCTAACAGTTTCTTTTCTTGAACTTCTCACTTGTAGAACTCCCTTCCAGCTCCATACTTTCGGGCCAACTAAAAATTTAAATGCAAAGTCAATTGTTATCTACTGTCTTCCTGATTACAATTCTATTGTTCTCACTCCTTCATGATGTTTTCTTTTCTCTAATTGTTTTGCACTCAGTAACTCCTGTCTTTGAGAAGGCATGGTGGAATAATGGATGGCGGCTCAAATTGAGGAATTGGATAGCCGAGTTTGAATTCCAGTCAAATCCATTACATTCACTTATGTGCTAATACCCTTGGGAAAGGTATGAATCTTATTCTTCTCCCCACAGCTGCGGCTAAATAGCAGGACAGACCAGGTTCTATAGCCTTGGTTGGCAACTGGTCTAGGAGAAGGACAACTCTGAATTCAGAAGCGGATCCTCCAGGTTGGGGGTTGTGCAGTAGCCTAACAACCTACTTACTTAAAAAACTGGCTTGTTACAGAAACTGCAACAATATCTTGCAGCCCTATGTTCCTTAAGGAATTTAAAAGCATAATAATAACAACCCCTATCTTTATGGCTTTACTGCCTTGTTTGGGTTAAATTCTATAAAAAAGAAGTAGAATTGATCACTCTAAGTTAAGCCTTTGATTGTCAAAATGCACTTGATACATAAAAATCTTTGTTCTGAACTCAAGTTTCTCACCTACAAATCCTTTGAGTATATACTTTCATATGTAAATATATTTTATTCTTTGCCATAATCTATAGTATTGATTATCATAACATCTGCTTTTACTTAGAAAATCAATATCTGTGATTGACTGTGAAAGGAAGAATAAAATTATTTTATTTACTCAGAAGATGGAGACATTGGAAGCAATAAGTCCTAATTTTTGAAAATTGCGGCATAACCTAATTTCTGATTTTTATCAATAGAATCTGAATGCAAAAAAAAAAAAAAGAAAAGAAAAGAAAGTATCCCTTTTATTATATTCTAGTGCAAATGAGATCTCTTTCCGATTCATTCGACATCAAACCCTGTTGGCCTGATGTGAATGCTAAGACAGTAAAACTAAAGGTAAAAAAGTCACCCTGTGCATCGGGGATCTGAGCATCATACTTGGCTCACAAGATAAATCCCCCTCCAAAGAAAAAATATAAAATAGAATATAAAAGGATCCAATCACAAACATTGTTGCTTAAGCAATGGCATGATAAAAAAAACTCTGAATCATGATCCACTACATCTGCTTTTAGGAATGTCACTCACAACAGTGTCACAGGTGTAGAGAGTGGGTAAGCTATCAATGTCATCACCAGTGATTTTGGTCAACTAACCTAATGCATGCATCAACTCCAGGGCCTACTGACTCTCCCTATCCTCCAATTCACTTCCCTTGCCCACAAAGAGACATTCCACCTTGATGCTCTATATCAGCAAGACAGGGTGTGTAACTTTAGAATTTTCCTTGAACATGTATTCTACATTCTCAAGAGGATGTCAGAGACTCTTCTTCCCTTTGTGAGTGCTTATATGTCTACGTATCATCATCCATCCCATGTGTGCACATCACAAGTGTAACTGGGTTGACCATCTGTTCACATAGTCACTGATATATAGTGAAGTGCAGATCTGCACCTGGTGGCTGGGAGGTCAACTTTCAGATCAACCTGCTGATGCACCTGGCGTCTCTGAGGCAAAGTTTCATTTGGCATCCACAGAAATGAGTCACATACCATACTCTCATGATCAACCTCCCATTTATAATACCTGAATACAGTGTAGTATTTAGAAACTTGGCTTAGACCAAAAAACAAAACAAATTGCATTTTACAGGCAGATAAATATACTATGTGTGGAATGAAGTAACAATTATTGGTACAAAAAGCAAAAACGGGAAACCAATTGAGGTCATTTATGCTTACAGGACACCAAAGTCTATGGAGAAGGCATAAACTCACTTTTCCCTGCACACCATCCTATCATCAGATACCTTGACAAAACATCTCATCACTGGTATGGTTAACTTGGAAGGTATCAGAAAAAAAAGAATAATTTCTACCCAAATTACCTGCCTTGGCAGTAGCAGGATAATGCTGTTACCATTATTGTCAAGCCTGGCAGAAACTAATCTGGTTCGATTGATAGGAATTTAAGTGACTATTTAGAGAATTTATTTGTGATAAGATTTACTGTAAGCTAGATTGGTTTGGTTTGATTTCTGCTTAACGAACCATCAATAATTATAGTCATTTATAGCCAGATAAAGGCTTTGAATCGTGGTTGTTTGGGATATGACTTGATGTTATATGTTAATCAGTGATAGTTTTGCGTACTTTCTGGCTAAAACAATGGCAGATACAGGTTTCAGCCTTGATATTGGTATAGTATGGTGCATTAATACTAAAATTAATATTAAAAAGTAGCCTTCATAATGTACATGGTTATTTTCCATAACCATTGTTAATCCTGCCACATACTCCTCTTTTTCTCCATGTTTCCGACTCAATAACGTTTATTCTCGTTCTCTTGTCAGTCAGTTATGTGCCATGCGTGATACACATGTAGGTGATCATGTATTTTTCGATACATGACTGACGAGGCAAATTTTTTCCCCGTGTTGCCATTTCTTTCTGCAGTAGACCAGTTGCCATCCAAGGCTATAGAACCTGGTCTGTCCTGCTATTTACCCATAGCTGGTGGAAGAAGAAGAGGATTCATATCTTTCTCAAGGGTATTAGCATGTAAGTGAATGTAATGGATTCAAATGGAATTCGAACTCGGCTCTCCGATTCCTCAATCCGAGCCACTATCCATTACGTCACCGTGCCTCTGTTCACTTGTAGTAATCTCATTTATAGTGTCTTCATATTATGGGGAGTAGCTCTACTCACCTTAAGACATGTTGGTTGGTGAAAGACCTTGTAATATTTTTTCTTAAATCAGTTATTAAAAATTCTGGTTTCTAATAAAGTTTATTTTGTATTAACTTTCAGATAAAAATTGATTAGCATTTGCATTGTTATTTTTAGTGGGGATTTATGAAGTCTGAAGGGTTTTTTTTGCTTTTTTATTTTTCAGTTTTCAAAATGGTTTTATAAAGAATTAATGGATTTTATCTTTTAATCTGACATATTTTAATTACTTCAAACATTATTTTTAGTGGATATTTAGCCACTGAAACTGTTTTACCTCTCCCGGTTGGTGGCTGATGAAGGCAGGGTATCGCACATACTTTCACACATTGTAGAAAATTGTATTTGAATAGACGCTCCACTTATTTTAAACTGTATTTATTTCATCTACTGGTGTCTGTCATCAAGAAAACTTAACAAAGCAAATGTGTGCATTCAAATAAATACTGATTCGGATGCAAAACTGAGCAGGTACTGGGTGTAACAGCAAAACTGTCCAAATCTTGTAACAGCAAAACTGTCCAAATCTTGTAACAGCAAAACTGTCCAAATCTTGTAACAGCAAAACTGTCCAAATCTTGTAACAGCAAAACTGTCCAAATCTTGTAACAGCATGGGATAATTGTCCATCCCCAAAAAGTTTAATATTTAAAACCTACTAAATTAATTGAGTTTCTTTTTTCCAGATTTTTAGATAAGATGTTTAGCC